CACTTATTTGGGAAGTACCATCAGCCCCAACGCGTTGATCTTTGACGAAATCTCTGCACGGATACAAAAGGCTCGTTTCACATATGCCAGATTACTCCATCTCTGGCTTAGTAGACGTGATATCTGGTTGGTTATCGACCAAAAGTAGTGTGTACTGCCCTGTCCTCCTTTATGGCTTTGAGACATGGCCACTGAAAGTGGAAGATACGAATAGGTCGGCTACCTTTGATCATATATGTCTGTGTTCTATCTCCCGTGTGAAGTGGTATAATAGGGTGGGCAATAATGAGGTTAGGCATCTGTCGAGTGGTAGGTAAGGAGGGAGGGGAAATCAATCGACGAGGCTGTGAAGCTACATCGACTGAGATGGTTAGGACATGTGTTACGTATGCCTAGTCACATCGCATTCGTCGACAGGTAATGTTAGCTGACATAAGGTCAGGCTGAAAAAGGGCTAGCCAGCGGTGGTCAGAACAAAACATGGCACCAGTCAATGAAATGAACAACAGTTAGTTTAAACCACGTAGGAAGGTGTGGACTTCCAGGCTGGTTGGTGTCCTCGGGACGGTAAAAACCAATGGCTGGAAACAATCGATGATATAGCTCAAAATCGTTCTCAATGACTGGCGCAGTTAGATGAATCCACCCCTTGTGATTTACCATATCTAGTAAAATTCTATTGTTCTTCTACACTACTATTCTTTTCCCAAAACTTCTGTTTATTATCTTTGCTTTGAATCTGTCTTTACTCTCTTCTCTTGCTTTGTGTACTATATAGAGGTAATGTGGCAACTGGAACTGTTGCACATTTGTGCAAATTTCTACACTGGAACCAGTCAGTCATTCACCTGAGCTTTATGTCTCTACTACTCCATTAAAATGTCGAACCAGCATACTTCGGTGGCACAGTGGTTAGGACTCTCGCTAACCATGCACATGGTCCGGGGTTCGATCCCCTGCCGACGCACACCCGATATCTATGGTCGGTCTGCAAAATTTGGGCTACCGACATCCATGCTGAGAATTCCGTACTTGTACTGAAAATATGGTGTGGCATCAAGCTATAATCAAAATAGAAAAAAATAAAATAAAGTGCTACCAATTGCTGACTGGGTCTGAAACGAACATATCCAGTTCATTATTTTATTTTTTTATATTTTATTTTGATTACAGTTTGACTCCATACAGTATTTTTGATACAAGTAGGGAATTTTCAGCATATGATATTGGTAGCCCAAATTTAGCAGGCCGACATTGATATCAGGTGTGAGTCGGCAAGGGATAAAACCCCGAACCATGTGCATGGTCGCCGAGCGTCCTGACCGCCACCGACGCACACGTCTAATTGCACTTAATGACTATTATTATGATCATCATGAAATCTCGACTTTGAAACTGTAAATTGATCATCTGATGAGCTGGAAGTCAAGTAATTTTAGGCTCGTTAGAGAGGAAAATCGACAACCTGTTGTTTTGAAACTTAGGATCCTTATACTTGCACTGGTCAAACACACAAGAAGGGGATTTTTGAACTCAGTTTCCCAAACAGATTCTTTATATGCATCAACCTAATGTGCTACACGTTGTAAAGCTTGGTAACACTAATCAATCTTCGAGTATGTAGAGAGCCAAAGACGGAGCGTGAAATCATTTGCTGCTAGGTGAATGTCATAACCAAAAAGCTACATCCTTACGAATCCAGTAGAGGAATAAGAACAATGAAGGAAGGATTAAACGCTCATGGATATGACACGGAAGATAGTAAGTTAGGTTAGTCACATTATGAGATGTATATACACATAGAATAGTGACATTATTATTTTATTATTCCTTTACGTTCCCAGTGGAATATACGGCTTCAAACTAGAGGCTTGAAGTTTCTGTAGCAGTGTTTATTTTTACAGGATGGGGTTGCTAGCCTCATACCCAACCTTTCCTCCTTACCAGCTTTTATTACTGGCTTAGCGAGGTAAAGGAGTGCGTCGGCCGGGGATCGAACCCCAGACCATGTGCATGGTCGACGAGCGTCCTAACCGCTGCGCCACAGACGCACAGATTAGTGACATATTCTAATTTATCTATCTATGGAAAATTCGCAGACTTATCCTACTTTAACTAAATGACTACGACTGTCAAGCTATGGCTGATTAATTTACGGACTCTGAGTTGATAGGTTTAAATCGTAAATCGTGAAGGATAGTGCTATGAATTGTCCTAGAAACAGGTATAACTCCTTGTCAAGAGGGTGGGAGCGGTTGAGAGACACCATCCTTGGCCAACACTACTCGTCAAGGATGGAGGGGATAACACACCTCTGAATTACAACCTTTGTACTTTCATCTCAGACATACAAAGAAACAGATACACTTGTAGTCAAGTGCCTTGAGTATGTTATACGTCTGCTTTAGACACACAAGGGAAATCGTCGCACAGAATACATTATTTGATAGGCAGGTTTGCTGAGTGAATTTTGTTGGTCAGTTTTTCCACCCGCCATCAATTGTTAGAACATAGTCATAATTATTTTCAAGCTGACGATTGCTATACTTCTTGGTAAGTAGAGCTGAGCAACGCTGACCTCTGGGAACTGTTTATCAGAAAGGCGTTTCGAGTGCTCCATCTATACTTTAAAAGGATATACAATCACTGTTCTAAGCAAGCGATAGGGTGATAGATAGATTCGTTTAATTTCCTCATTCAACTTTGAGTTCACTATCGACGACATTCTAAAACTGAATTCAAAAGAAGGTCACATGCTCTTAATTAAGCGAATAATGTTTTCTCTTAATTTATCAACTGACAATCAATGTCTGTACGATGTCATTTATAATTAACATGAGAGATTGGATGCATTTAGTGCTTGCAGCCACTGTTATAGGTTTACGTATTTCGATAGTTGTTTGTGCAGATGATTGTGTGGCAAATGAGATGTCTAATTGAGACATGACCATTGGAAGTGGAATATGTGAAAAGGCTAGTAGTTTTCGAACACATGTTCCCGTGTTAAATATTATTATATAGTGAGTAACGTTTATGTTAGGCATGGAGGGCAAGTAAATCGATGAAATTGTGAAGGTGAACCGATTGAGATGTTTAGGACACATACTACACATCGCCTTCCTCGACAGATGAGGTTGGCAGACATTGGATTAGTTTCGAAAAGGATTAGACGTGGTTAAACCAAAACCTGACATCAATCCATGAAGAGACTTTGACAGTTAGTTGGAGCCAGTTAGTGAGGTCGGGGGGTCCTCGGGAAACTAAGAACCATTGGCTGCAGACGATTGGGGATATGGCTCAAAATCGTTTTCAAAGAAGCATACCCATTTACTCTTGGTGACTTTCCATATCCACTGAACCCTGTTTTTTTTGTGCTACTATTCTTCCTCCCTCTTCACATTTGTGCTGATTACAGTTTTAAGTCCTTATTTCCCCCTCGTTTGTCTACCTATGTATACTACGTGGTGTGGCAATTTGAACTGCTGCACTTCTGTGTTGAAACTCAGTCAGTCACAGATGTCTCATCACCTGACTTATGCACAGTATCGGTCGGTCGGTTTTCGACATAGAACTTTGCACATGTGCGGCAGTTCAAGTCGCCACACTCCATGTAGCACACAAAGAAAGAGAAGAAAGTAGGAGAAATGCATAATATAGACAGTAAACAGAGGTGTGAGACAAAGGTATAGTAATAACGAAGAACAAGTTTTATTGGAAATCATAAGTCACAAGGAGTGGATGCATCTGTGCCATTGAGTACGATTTTGAGCCATGTCACCAATTGCTTCCAACCATCGGTTTTTACCGTCCCGAGGACCCCAACCAGTCAGGCAGTCTACACCTTCCTACGTGGCTTAGACTAACTGTTGTACATTTCATTGACTGGTGCCATGTTTTGGTTTGACCGCCACTAGCTCTTTTCCAGCCTGGCCCTATATCAGCTAACATTGCACAGTATACGAAATTGACGTCTAGTGCCGTAAGTTTAGAAAATAAAAATCTAACGCTAAGTGGTGTCTTTTTTCGTGGAATGACATTAGTGCTTTGGAACTGTTGCACAAATGTTAGTTACTACTGTCGTCCGTTCTTCAATATTCTAAAATCTGCTTCAGAGTAATTGAAACCAAGTTTTGTAAATAAGGGTATATGGTGGGGTGGGGTGGGGTAGGGTTAATGAATCATCATTGGATGATTCCGTCCACAAGAAAACATGACTGTGGGGCTGAAGGAGTGTGCGTCGGAGGCACACGCTCACTTGTTTCGGGGCTCAATACCCGGCCACCGACGTACTCCTAGACCTCGCTAAGGTAGTAATAAGACAGGTAAAGAGCGAAGGTTGGACATGGGGCTAGCAACTCCATCCTGTAAAAGTAATAAAACACCACTGCTACCGAAACTTCAAAGCTCTAGCTTGAAGCTTTATGTCCCGCTGGCAACGTAAAGGAACTAATACTAATACTAATAATAATAATAATAATAATCTTTATTCCAAAAACAGTACTTATAATACAGAATGGAATTCTCAGCATTTGTCACAATAATGAATCTCATTTACTCAAAATATAAATAAAATTAAAACAAAACTAACCAGAGGAATTTGTCCCCTGCTACCGAAACTTCAAAGCCCTAGCTTGAAGCTCTGTGTTCCACTGGCAACATAAAGGAATTAATACTAATAATAATAGTGGGGCTAAAGTCATTATTAGACCTCCCACCATAAAAATGAATAGCAGGTGATAGAGATTTTCCTGAATAATGTGTCTAATGTGAATGCCTATCTAAAAAATTATATTGGTGTCTACACGCCCTCCTTTTATTTTTCCACACACACTGTGTTGTCACTACTAAACTGAGCTTGTGGTTGAGTAAATATTAATTTTTTTTTAAAAAAAAGCAATACATCCTTCCTTTTTGCATAGTAAACAAACTTATTTCTCCAGAAACATTGTAGAATGAACAAATAAAATGGAAAATATATTCTTAAAAAAAATACAACTAACCTGCGTTGTTCTTGTTCCAGTGGTTCTTCAACCACTTCTTCTTCGTACTTCACAATACTATTGTCTAAATCTTCTTCTTTTGTTCGATCATGTTCAAGGAAAGTGTGTTGGCAGTCTTCTGAGGCGATAGATTCATGAATTTTTCGCCTACTGACTGAACACTTCATCACAGAAGTCCATACATTATTTATTTCATAGGATGATTTACGATTTTTTATTTGACTCAGTTGAATTGCAGAATCATTGTACCGATGATAATTGTCATCTTCATTATCATCTGAACTCTCGTAGTCAGCATCAATACTCGGCGACAGATATCGATCACAGTTATCTGAATTAGAATGTGAGTCAATAATTGCCTGGTAGGGACGCTTTAATGATTTGGATAGGAAGAAATTTTTTCGATATTTATGATTTTCAGTGTGATTAGCTTGATTTTCATTTTCCGATTCAACGTCAGAAGGCCGTGGATCCTCCTCTTCTTCTTCTTTTTCCACAATTCTATCCGATTCATCATTGTCTAACTCATAATCGTAATAGTCAACATTTTCAAAGTCATCATACGGACGACGAGGAGCTTTAATCACTCGTTTCGATCGTCGAGTAGGATTGCTATTAAGTGAGGCAGACAATTTCATTGCCCTGGCGGCACCACCAACACCACCACCACCTCTGCGTCGTCTAATGCTGCCACGTGAGGCAATTTTTGGACGTCGTTGACGAACATTGAAATCTGAGGTTTGTAAACAACTTTGACGACGATAGCTGCTGCTTCGTTTAGCAGAAATGTAGTCACAATCACATTGTTCATGACTGCTAGAATCTTTGCTTATTATTTGTTGATTTTCATTATCATAATCTTCACTGTACATATCTTGCTCCGATGAACTGAAACCGTCATCAAATCCATCGGTTTCATAGTCAACATTCATATCATTGACTATAGTATCTACGAAAGCTTTGACAAGAGGATAAAGACTCATCAACTCTGTAAGTCTTTCAGAGAAATAATTGTCATTATATTTATTGACTAGTTGATTTTCTTCAGGTCGACGAAGCTGTGCCTGACAGTGGGAATATTCATGATCGATATACGGCGATGGAGTAACGTAGACTTCATTCGATGAATAAACCTCTTCCTCAGATTTCAGTGGGTTTTTTTTATCACTCAAATCATCATCATCAGTCTTTGCAGCAGTTGGAGAGGGAGGTGGTTTCAACATCTTGGTATTTGAATTTCTCGTGAGTGGTCCACCAGCAGGACCAGGTTCTTGATCACAGTCCAACATATTGCTGATATCAAGATCATATTCTTTTAGAGTGGTACGAACATAATTACTATTAAGAACTTCAGAGCGTTTAGCAAGACATGATTCACAGCCATTTACATTTTCTTTGCATTCATTACACTTATCTAGAGAAATAAATTAGACGAAATAGACAATTTGTAAAAAGTTATATCTGTGTAAAATCTCAGTGAGATTGATATGATTAATTCCAACGTTTCCCTACATTCGGCAATCTGGTCCGAACTTCTTCAGGGAAATTAATCGAAATTAGCATAACAGAGGTTTATATGCAGAAAAGGAGCATCTCTTGTTTTTAAAAACTTTGTCAAATCACATGAGTCATGAAACAGGTATCAACATGTTATAATAAACAAAATTGTATGAACTGTGATCAAAATTTGACCTCGGATTTATTTTTGCTAAACGCTTTGAACAGAGTGTGTGTGTGGGTAAACAGTTGTTGACGTCTCCATAAGAAGATATAGACAGTAGGGAATTTTGACCAAGTATGATTAATTAGTGATACATATCCATTTTATATTTATTATTCAGGATTTGCTATGCATCAGCTAACAAGATCATACCTTCATGTCTGTTCAAACTGTTAGTATTTAGAATTTTATGATTAGACGTATTTTCAAAATTATGGTGTTTAGGATTAGAGTTTAGTTGAAATACACCCTGTGGAACTTATTGTTTTATCTTCTTATTCGATCTACTGGAGAGTTGTCAGGTGACTCGACAGCTACGGATTTAGGATATGCATTATTCTGTTGCAGACAACAGAGAGTGAAAACACGCCCAAATATTTTACAGCTACTCTGTCAAATCTTGACGACAGTTCATTTGAAACATACAATTGATGAGGAAAATGTAGTCAGTACAACACACTAGGAACTACTAGTACGACGACGACGAATCGACGACGAGAACAACAACAACCATCTGGATCAAGGTAGTGATCCCACACACACTTTATGGTCTGGTGAATTTAGCAAACACGAGAAAAAAACTACTCGTGTGAGTTGATTTACAAATTGATACTGCACAGTCAATCAGCAGTAGATATAAGAATAAAACTTGTGCACTGTGGTAGCAGAGTGTAATTCCATTATGCGTAAAATTTGATAAAGTCTCACAGTGTTATGCAATAATATTTACTACTGATGACCACATTTCGAGAACAATTTATCATTGCTGCTCATAATCACATCAAGGCACTACTCAGACAACTTGCTAACTTCATTTATATTATTCCATCATTTTCCATAGGTTGATTTGATTTTCCATACTTATGGTATGAGTAATGAATCATTCCTATTGCATGTGTTGGGTGTAGACTCGATGAACCAGGATTCAGTAATCAATCTCTCTCTCCCTGTTCACCTACCTATATTACTTTTTTGAATTTTAACCCTCTCCCTCACTATTGTGTGGTTGTGTTAATGTATGCAGTGCAATCGTTGAGCTTTTTTCTAAATTACTTATCTTCTCGGGTGGGGTAAACTATTCTTACCTCAGCTACATTCTTATGTTCCGACAATCTGACTACCCCCAACCCAGTAGTTTGACCTATGTAGTTGACCCTCTCACAGTCATTGCAGGGTATTTTGTAAATTATATTATTTTATCTAAATGGGTCAACTAACTGGGTCCTTTAACCTGTCTACAGAGCTTGTCCTATCTGAGTGAGTTTGTAGGTTTGAATGCCACCACCCTAACTCCTACCTTATTGAGAATCCTACGTAGGGTCTCAGATGTCCCCTCCTTATATGGTATAATTTTAGATGTCGTATATTCTCTCTTATTTATGTTATCATTATTAGTTTCCTCATTATTTTTATTTTGCTTTTGGCCTTTTTTTGATCTTCCTAATGAATTTTATAGGATATTTCGTTATTTAACACCAACCAGTTATTCATCGTTTAGGTCTTTTTTGTAGTACTTAGTGCTACTGCTCGGTTTGTTAGACACTTAACTAAGCCTACCTTAACAGTTAACGGATGAAATGAATTAAAGTCTAAATATCTATTAGAATGCGTTGGTTTTCTATTAACACTAGTGTGTAGTTTACCTTCTGTTCGTTTGATTTTAAAATCTAACATAGCTAATTCTCCTTGTTCATTTTCCGATTCAAATGTGAATTTTATTTTCTCTACTAACGAGTTTATATGCGTTAAGAAGCCAGAGATATGTTCTGTTTTCAACACTGTGCGTGAAAGTGTCATCCACATATCTCCACCATATTTTCGGAGTAGGATTAAATGTATTAAGAGCAATATTTTCCCAGCTGTCCATAAAGATATCTGCTACGATAGGGGATATTGGTGATCCCATTGCTTCACCTCTGCTTGTTTATATATTTTGCCGTGGAATTTAAAGATAGTAGATTGAGGCATAGCTGAATTCCTAAAATAATTTTCTCAATGGGCAGCTTTGTTCTATGAGTAAGTTCAGGATCTGCAGTTAGCTCTTTTTTTAACTGCTTCTAAGGCTGCCATATTGATTGGTACATTAGATTAAAGACTAGTTATATATATCAAAACTAACCACTGCTTCATCATTCTCTAGTTGAATGTCGTTTAGCTTATTTTTCATTCCATAATGGAACAATCAGCAGTAGGATGAATAGTAGAACTACTCACCACCTTTTACTTAATAAAGGTAGTCACTCAAATGAATGAAAACAAACTATGAATTGTGAATATAATCATATGGAAAGGTGGTGTTTGTGTCACACAACTACAGCAAAATTATTATGAAATGACCTTAAAATGAGAAGCAACTGTTATTTCCCCCTCTCCATTTTGGTTATGCGCGATTTATCAAATCAAAAAGGATTTTAAAAAGCAACAAGAAATTGTTTTGAAATCTATCACACAACTATAGTTTAAAAACTTGTAATCTAAACGTGGAACAATTACAGATTTTTAGCTTCCGATGATGTCATTTTACATTCAATGGTTAGAGAACAGTGAGGAAGCCTTAGCTTGACTTACGCTTCGTGCTAGTTGGTACCCACCAATCAGCAAGGCGTATCTGTAATCTTGAAGGAACACATGCCCCTTCTGAGATTCAAACCCGCGTCACCCATTGCTGCAGTCAGAAACGTTACCTCCTGTAGGAGTGTGTTGGAGACTTTGACTGGGCACTAGTTGGTAACAAGTGTAATGTGTCTGACTAGTCCTTTATTTAGTGCAGACTGAATTCTATCAGTCAAGTTTGCAATGTGGCCACTGGCTGGCTGGCTGGATTCACACAGAACTTGGCACCGAAGTGCAGCAGTTCAAGTTGCCACGTTCCAAATAGCACACAAAGGTAGACAAGAAAATGAGTGAAAAGAATCAATAGAGTTTTGACAAGTATAAGAGTGAAACAGAATGAGTAATGGTAGAAAGGAATATGAAAGATTACAGAGACTGAATACATCTGCGTAAGCCATTGACAACGATTTTGAGCCATGTCACCTAATGTCTCCAGCCATTGATTCTTAGAGTCCCGAGGGTGGGCCCCAACCCGGAAGTCTGCATCTCCCTACCTGACTCAGTTTAACTGTCAGGGATTTCATGGATTGATGAGGCCATGTTTTTGTTTGGCCACCGCTTACTCTTTTCCAACCTGCACCTATATCAGCTAGTAATGCCCATCCGTCGGGGGAGGCGATGGTTAGGCATGCGCAGCACGTGGCCTAGCCATCTCAATCTATGTAACTTTATAGCCTCGTCGATTGATTTTCCCTCTTTGCCCAACACTCTACGCCTAACGTCAACATTACTTACCTTATTATGCCACCTAACGCGAGAAAGAGATCGTAAACATCTGTGGTCAAAAACAGACAACCTTTTCATGTCTTCAACTCGTATTGGCCATGTTTCAGAGCCATGCTAGATCCACCGTGCTAGATGGCTCACCATCACGTTACATTTTGAATTGTTGAAACCCACGTCCAAGGCTTCCTGTGGCCGATTGCCTCCAACTATCTAATATCAACAATTCAAAGTGTAACGTTTGACGGCAAAGAAACTAGAACGCTTCTGACGGAAGTCTAAATTCAGAAAATCAGAAGCCTAGATTGACAAGAATCGTCGTGCTGAGAACTATCTTGAGGAGCCAGGTAAAGTCTGCCTACTATGCAATATATGGGCGAATTGGATAATGTCTAGAAGAAGGATGCATAAAGGCCTGAGTTCAAAGAAAGGCATGTAGAAAGCAGACTATTCAGAAGTTTAAGAGTCAAGTTGATCATAGATGCAGACATGTTAATGCTTGAGATGAAATTTTTCAAGTTTATTTGCCATGACCTGTATTCAAGTCTTCATCCTTCAAATTTCTCCTTCCGCAGTCATCCATCGAATATTATCGCTGCTTGGGTTAACTCGTAAAATGGCTTTTGTATACGACAAGTAAGCATTTCATAAGCATCTTTTACCGCATGTATAGCAGTGTGTACGTTGATCGCGTCACTTGCACTTATATGCGCATACCAATAAAGCAACACAATGTAAAAGCTATGATACTGACTGGATGCCGCCACAAATGTTGTGGGTGGAGTACGGTTGGAACAAGCAAGCCAGTAGATCATATTAGAAAACGATAACCAATGAGGCACAACAACAACAACAACAACAGCTACTGAGTCACTGTAATAACCAAGAGAAATACTACACAGACATAGACTAGAAACAGATCGATACATTTCATATAATTTAAGACGTAAAGACTTACTTATGCGTGTTGGTAATAAGCGTGATTTCCTCCTTTGCTTCGTGACCAGTTTCGGATCCTCTAAAATGTGTGTCCCGATCATTTCTACAGTAATAGAATAAGATATGTTTACAACAGAAGTATTATTAAGATGCTTACAAAACAAAACAACAAAAGAAACACAAAACCCAAGTATAATTTGGTCATACTATTTTTTAAATTATCCCAACTATTATGACAAATATTGTGTTCTGCAACATCAGTTTTTATGCAAAACCTCCAAGTTGTTTTAGTTTTGACCGATATACAGTAGACGTTCGCTATCAACACAGAGAGTCAAACCTTGCAGATCGAAATAACCTATTGAGTAATAATCACTTGGACGAATGTTTTACGATCTTGTTATGAAAAAGTACTTGTTTTCTGTAAAACAAAATCTCACTGACTGCAGTCTAATATCAGACTATTGTGCTAAAACATTGTTTAAAGTGAAATTCAATCAAAAGACATCCAGAAAATGTATCATCCAGGCATGACATTGTGATAAAAAAGAATAAACGCGAGAAGAAAAATACAGACTGAACGACTGCAATATTAACATCTTTGTGAAAAACACTGAGGAAAAAATTAAGACGAAGTCTCCATCCAGTGTCGGTGGTTCAGTGGTAGAGCGCTCGCCAACCACACACGTGATCAGAGGTTCGATCCTCTCCCTACTGACTGACTGGTTTCAACAGAGAACTTTGCACCAATGTGCAGCAGTTCGAGTTGCCACACTCCCTCCAAGTAGCATACAAAACAAGAGGAGCAAGCAGAAGAAATGCATAATAGAGACAGTAAACAGGGATATGAGACAAAAGGAATAGTAATAACGAGGAACAATATAGTTTTATTTGGTATTAGCAATCACAAGGAGTGGATGCATCTAACTGAGTCAGCCATTCAGAACGATAATTTTGAACCATATCACCAATTGTCTCCAGCCTACATTGGTTTGTACAGTCTCGAGGACCCCAACCAGTCAGGAAGTCTATACCTTCCTACGTGACTGGCTGGCTTGAACTAACTTGTGGATTTGATTGACTGATGAAGTCATATTTTGGTTTGACCACCAGTGGCTCTTTTCCAGCCTGACCCTATGTCAGCCAACATTGCTAGCCGAGGGAGGTGATGTCGCCCGACGCACTCTTTAAACCTTGCGAAGCCGATAAGTAAGGCTGGTAAAGAGGGAAGATTGGACGTGAGGCCAGCAACCCAACTCCGTTAGCAAAAATGACTCATAGCCCTATCTTGAAGCCCTATGTTCCACTTAGAACGTGAGGGAAGGAAGCCTATTCGGAAGAGTGTACACTGGAAGTAGCTTACATTGGTATTGACTGCTCTAACTTTGGACAAATATCCCTACGAAATGTGAGAAATCTCCACATGATCTGACAACGATTCCTCCAGATGTTGCTGGGGGAGGTAAGAGAAACTACCTACGGTTAAAATTACCTTAAAAAAACAGAATCGGGTTTGCAACTGCTTATGAATGATTGCAAGTCAAACGAATTCAATTATTGTGAGTTGTTGTAAATTGGCTATACGATACAAGGAGAAACCCCACCACCACGACCCTAATATTACTTTGCATCCAGATATTTTTTTTCAATGACAGAAGTTTTCAAAACGTTATTAAGTCTACACTTTTGGCAGAGTAATAAGCTAAATAATACATTATAATTGAAATTTTAGCTTACTTTCCCAAGCATCACGTTTTACTTCATTAGACCTAGAGAAATACAAAACAAACAAGATTTAGTGGTAATCTAAACAGGATACAAATATTAGACGAAAGAAGCAAATAAGATGATTATCTAAAGAAAACGACATCATCTGATTTGAAGTTACTGTTACGAACAAAGATAACAAACTGTTCCAATAACAGAGGATACTAACTCTCTTCAAAGTTTTACTTAGTTCCTTAGACAACCTCCCCCTATCTCTTTTCGATCAATATATTCCATGTTACACTCTGCTAGAGTTTACGAATTTAAAAATAGCATACTACTTTTGACCCTATTAATTTAAGTGTTAACCGCATACCGTGAGGTATTCATCTACGAAATACAGGAAGTGTATAAATGAACACAGCTTTACGTCTAAGATCCCATAAAACCACCACACGTGATCAATATTTACACATTCAGGTACTATACACAGTTAATTTAGGACAAAATTAGTTCTAACGCAGTATCTTAAGACTGACAGGTGAAAAGCACTTGTCCAGAAGTCAACTTCCCATCAGGGTGTCCTGGGAGCGTGATGTCTTAGAGTTTTGATTCATGCAATGTAAACCGACTTGCCTTATTTTACAAATCTTTTTTCTGAAGTTAGAGTTAACCAATCACCCCGGCAAATAAGTACTACCAACTACATTCTGACTATTATAGTATAACTTCTGAATACTCCAATAACAATTAGATGATATCCTAACACCTCTTGACAATCTCAATTTAAAGTAACCTTCACGCCAAGAAATAAGGCATTGTGGTGTAAATAATGTAATCCAGACAATACAAACACGTACCAAGACGAATTATAAACGGTTGTAGTATGACAGTATTAACTGTAAGCATTTAAGCTATTGCCTTAATACAATGAGTACTACAAAAACCACAGAATAACAATCGCCTAATTCTAGTCATTCAACCAAAATTAGAAATACAACTTACAGAAAACCATCTCCACCTGGTTGATCTGGAGTAGGTGAATTCAGTTTAGCATTGTTGGTCGCTTCAGTTTCATTCAACAGGCGTAGAATGTTTAAGTACTTCTCTTCTTCTTCGGCTGGCCATTCAACTTCAGCTGAAGCACTATCAATACTAGTTGCTTCGTCAGATGGTGAGGACCAGTATCTATGATCAGAGAAAGTTGAATCAGATACCATTGCTTTAACATCTGTTGTACTATCAGGTCCAGAATTTGACGGGTCAATGAATGAACTATCGTATGTGGCCACAACATTGCCATCACTAGTGTACAACAGCCGAATTTGAGGTGCAGATTCTCCAACCATAGATCCAAACTGATCACTCCCTAAACCCTCAGCACGCAAAAGCTGACTGGGAGCGCTTCGTGCAAGACCAAACCGTCCGACTGGAAATGCACTGACAGAATTTGTACTGCCACTATCATTAAGTGATTGACCCCCAGCTGCAGATGTGTTATTGCTGTTCCATGGGGTTCGTTTGATGGCATCCAATAAGGTAGCTCTCTCACGAGGCTCAACTGTCCAGAAAGCACCTCGACCTGGGCCCTAATTATGAAAAGTTGTTAAACAGTAAGACTATTAAGCAATGAAATAGAAACAATGAGTAACATGGAGACACAACAACAAGCTTACACAGAATTATTTGACAATTACAGTACAACAATATGAAACAATGGTGCACTTAAAGATAGCAGTGACACAGAAGTGCGTTTGAGGTGCATATGACAATCTATCACCTCGTCATCATCAAGGTCTTCATGCTCCTGTCTTTGAGAGCACAGTACATCGAAGCTACATTTCACAATGGCATTAGGTTCATTCTGCATAAGGGAAGAAAACATATTTGTAGATAGACATTGTATTTAGATGTAGAAAATAAATGCAAAATGAAAGATAATAACTTACACGACTATCACGAGGTAAACGTTTGAAAGACTTGTTGATAGATAAATTATGCCTTAAAGAATTCTTCCAACCAGCGCCAGCATGTTTGTAGAACGGGAAGTTCGATTCACACCAGTTATATATTTGATTGACAGTCATACACTTTTGTGGTGTCGATTCGATTGCCATAAATATAAGGTGAGTATAACTGTAGTTTGGTTTATCAAGTCCTTTGCCAGTGACAGTAAGTGACGGATTGCCTCGATACCGTGTAGTTTCTCCATAAAACTGTTCTCCTGATACTGATGCAGGACGACGAATGCTTCTACCGAAAATAGAGAGGGGTGGTTCAGACACTGGTGGAGACGAGTAGTAGGATTCCTGAGATTCGACGGGTAATCCTGAATTGCGATTGGTGTCTTCACTATCTTGACTTTTGATCACAGTGGAGTTTAAAGAATCACTGCCATTTTCTTCCTCCTCATCCAAAGGAGTTATCTGCAAAATATCATCTTTCTGAAGCCATGACAATGACACCAAGTCATTAGTTGGTACAGCATCACCGGAGTGTTTTGTATCCCAAGTATCTTGCAAAATCTCATTGTCTTCACAATCAATATTGTTTTTAACGGTCATATTTCGATTCTACGTGCCTGAATTACAGATAATGGAATAAGAGTAGAGAGTATATGCATGCACTTTATCTATACAAAAACATTCACATTTGGTGATGGAATATACACATCATTTTCGAGAAAATAAGTCATGAGGGCTAAATCCATTCAAAGACGAGTGCTCATAAGACATTACTGCAATATACTTATCAACGTACCTAAAATGAAGTAAATCCCAACAACAAACTAAACCATTGTTCTACTTGAAAGACACGAAAGCGTCACTAACAACGGCTGCGCCAAATGACTTCCGGTGAATGAGTGCAGAAAAAAAAAATTGAATTTTGAATGAACATAGTTGACAAAATCGGTGAAAACGGATTATACTGAACATTTCGTCATATATTTTAGTCATAATAAGCGAATGCCATATGACGGTCAAATAACTGAAGCACTGTCTACGTATTTTTGAAATGGAATATTTTGGCCTTAAAACGTCACAGAGTAATTCAGAAAGTCTACTCTCCCCACAGACTCCTTGATAAGGTAAATAATTTTGATATAGAGGGCGGAATTAATATGCTAAGAATAAAGGGAAATCTGTCGTATAAGTTAAAAGGAGGAATTCGGAAAGCGCTTTCAAATAAAAACCCTTAAATGATGAAGCACTCAGTAGTGCAGTGTCATTTAGTTACTGGTGACGTCCTGGACACAGTATGCTGTTCATGATTACATCGAGTAGTTCAGGCAACTTTCAGACTTTGTTATAATAGTTTTGTCTTTTCTGTTAATACGCGCTGTTTGAAGAAGGGAGTGCTTTTTTCACGTATTTTCACGTATTGACAAACCGCTGTTTTTGTTGTGTTATTCAATTCAAGAACATTTAAAAAAACTTTGACTTGACTTTTGTCTGTTAAGTTTTGATTTTAAACATTTATATAGTCTATTTTGTGTAAATTGTCTTGGCTGTTCCAGTAGTTCATTATGTCAAAAGTACCACATAAATGTAATAGGGTGGAGTGTTACTTTTTGGTAGACGATGGAATACAGTGTAATAACTGTAAAAAGTGGTACCATAAGATGTGCACTGGATTACGTCCAGCTGCATACAAACGTTGTAGTGCTCCAACATCCCACTGGATGTGCAGAATGTGTTGCTCCCCAAAGATGACTTTGATAAGGGAGGCTCACGAACTACTGTCTAAGGCTATGGAACTTCCTGATGATAGCGTGGCTAGTAATAGTGACACAGACTGCCCGTCTGAAGATGACGCAGCAAGTGCCATCATGAATGTTACCACACCGGCGCTTACTATCCCAGTTACCCCGGAAGTAAAACCTACTAGGCGTTCGAAGCGTCTTAGTAAGCGAAAGGGTAACAAAACGGAAGCTGCAAACAGCATCTCAGCACCAGAGAACACTGTAAGCGAAGTTAACCATGAATGTGGTGCAGACACTGATCTCGATTGTACCATCAAAAACTGCAGCAGCACTGAGAAGCAACTGCAGGCAGATGATCAGTGGGTAACGAAAGTAAGCAATCGGAAGAAACATCGTAATATTGATGGTAGTCAAACGTCTGTCACCTGTAGCCAGGCTGCATCAATAGTGGTGAGAAAAGGCGTAGCCACTGCTTAACACGACAAGCTCTCCTTAGACTCTAACATAATTGTTGGAAACTTAGAAGAGTCCAAAGAATCTGATCCCGTAAAAAGGCACGATCACGACCTTAAATTAGTGAGTAGTATTATTAGGAAGATGCTCCCAGAGAATTTCCCTGGAGTATCGATTAAAAAGCTGATTAGAATAGGCAAAAGAGATGATGAATGTTCTAATCAGCGTAGATTGCTTAAAGTAGTCTTAGGTTCTCCTGATGAACGGAATCATCTACTGGCTAATGTACACAACCTTTCCGGGTCAGGAATTTCAGTCAGACCTGATTTATCTCTTGAAGACAGACTAAAACGAAAAGAAATTTTGTCCCAGCTAGAAACAAGACGCAAAAGCGGTGAAACTAACCTTAAACTGGTGGGTTTTCAAATAGTCAGGCCTTGGAAACGTATACTTCCAAGACCTGTGTGGATAAGCCGGACCGCATAGGAAGCCTGAAGGTAGTGTACACTAATATACGTAGTATCGGGAATAAATTTCACGAGCTAGGTGTATTAGTGGAAGACCTTAGCCCAAGTATTGTGGCCATTACTGAAACATGGCTGGTTTGTGGATTAGATGACACACCTGAGCTACGCGGATTTACTTGCTTGCGCAGCGACAGGGTTAAGGGTCGTAGAGGTGTCGGGGTCGCTCTGTACATCAACAACTCCCTACATGTTCGTTCCGTGAAATCTGAAGCGCATGACAGTGGGACAAGTGAGGTAATTAGCTGTGAAGTAAGCTTTGCAGCTGGCACTTTACTCATTGGTGTTCTGTATAGAAGTTCCTTTTGTCAGTGTGATGACTTTATTTTAGATCACCTCAAACAATGGAGTAAACACAGTAGCTGTCTTATTCTAGGTGACTTTAATGCACCTCATATAGACTGGGTAGCTGTCATATCTCCAGGATCCACTAATAAGTTTGACAGCCGGTTACTCCTGACTACCATGGAAAATGCCCTGACACAACATGTCTTAGGTAGTACAAGATTCGGTTCTACCCAAGGATCTTCCTTGCTGGACTTAGTGCTTACTCATGACAACGACGACGTGGATGGTCTAGTTATTCATCCACCTCTAGCAAACAGTGATCATGGGGTGTTAGATTTTAACTTAAGAGCTGGCAGTTTAGTCAGTTTTCAACCCAAATCCCAACCTAGTGTTTGGCATGCTGACATAGTCGCTATAAAGGAGCGTGCTTCAACTGCTGACTGGTCAGTCAATATTGTCTCATCCATTGAAGATGAATTGGATAGATTTAAGAATACACTTGAGAGGGTTACCACTGATTTCATTCCCTGAAGGGTTCCTAAAAGACCAACAAACCGGCCACCATGGATAAATAGACAAGCTATAACACTCCTAAGACGGAGAAAAAGGTTCTGGAATCTCTTTGTTTCTACTGGGTTACAGCAGTTCCGGCTGAAATACTGTGAAACCAGAAACCAGTGTAAAACTTTGATTCACCATTCAAGGATAGCTTACGAAACCCAGTTAGTCAAATGTTCACCAGGCTGCCCAAAAAGACTCTTCTCATATATCAAGAGAAGAACACGTAAGAGTGATGCTATCCCACCTCTTATGCTTGAAGATGACCAGACAAACATGGCTGAGGATAACTTGACTAGGGCTGAGGCTTTGTCCAAGCACTTTAGTCAAGTATTCTCTGATAATATTGATACCAGCTTTGTAACTTTTCCAGAAGGTAACTTGAAAGTGGCACCCTTATACACTGGAAAAGATACTGTCCTAAAGTGGCTTCTAAGGCTCAATCTTGGTAAGTCCAGTGGCCCTGATGAACTCCACCCACGTATATTAACAGCATTGGCTGAAAACATAGCCAAGCCATTGTCGGTAATCTTCAATATGTCTCTGGACCAGTCTAAATGTCCAAGAGACTGGAAAGATGCCATCATTAGTCCGATCTTCAAAACCGGATCTAGAAACTTAGTTCAGAACTATCGTCCTGTTAGTTTGACCAGTATTGTTGTTAAACTACTAGAAAGAATAATTCGTGATGCTATCATTCACTTCATTGAAGGGAACAAACTTTTCGCTGTGGAACAGCATGGTTTTAGAGCAGGTCATTCTTGCTTGACCAACCTTCTTTTGGCCAGAGAAAGTTGGGCAAGCTCAGCTGATGCTAATATACCAGTGGATGCCATATTCATCGACCTTAGCAAGGCGCTTGACAGGGTTTCTCATTCAGGTCTTCTAGTAAAGTTAGGTAGTAAGTGGTTGCCAACTGGATTCAAGACTTTCTAAAGGACAGAAGACAAAGAGTACGAGTTAACGGGGTTTTATCAACATGGGAATCGGTTAAGAATGGCGTTCCTCAGGGTACAATTCTAGGCCCACTTCTTTTCCTGATTTATGTTAATGAGATTCCATCGGTGGTTAAGTCATCCTGCTTACTGTTTGCTGATGACATCAAGATATGGAGGGCTTTACACGATGACAGTGATCAACTTGCTTTGCAGGAAGATTTAAACTTGTTAAGTGATTGGTGTAAGCACTGGGCCTTGGAGATTAACTTAAGCAAGAGTGTAGTTATGCATGTATCTCATAGTCACGTGCACAATTACTCAATGAATGGCATTACTCTCCCAGTGGTCACTGAGTACAAGGACTTGGGAAAGGTTGTGCAGCATGACTTTAAAACAGCAATAAACTGTAGAGCTGCAGCCACTGAGGGTTTTCGAATGTTATGGGCCATACGCAAAGCTTTTGCGAATTTTGACGCTGAAATATTTCGTATATTATATCCGACTTATATCAGACCTCATTTGGAATATGGGATCCAGGCAGCGAGCCCGTGTTTCAAATACGAAATAGACTTATTAGAAAGGGTGCAAATAGTAGGAACTAAGCTAATAAAGGGTTTCTCAACCCTCTCATATGAAGAGAGGTTAAGTCAACTGGGTTTATTTCCACTGTCATACAGACGACTTAGGGGTGACCTAATACTAGCATACCGTACCCTAAGAAATGATTTCAGAGCTAAATTATCTAATTTATTTCTTCCTTCTAGCATCAACCAATTGCGAGGACATCACCTCAAGGTTCAAAAACCACGGTCGAATCGTCTGCGTCTGGAGATCCGTTTTTTGCATCGGATTGTGAACCATTGGAACTCCCTACCGGAACACGTCGTATCAGCGCCATCCGTTGATTCATTCAAGGCGAGATTGGACCTCCTGTTTGTAACAAATCGAAAGGATTAACACAGGCATGTAGCCTACTATCCTAAATACATTGTAAACTGTAATCTAATAATATATTCGATATACTTGGCATCTGTGTTTCGTCATTCTTATTGCTGGTGTTGTGATAGCAAAGGTTCAGTGAACAAACTGTCATTCTAACTCACCTCACTACTATGGGCTTGTCTTACTTTTCTGTGCAATTACGTGATAGTGTCTGTATTTCAGTTTTGGGTCTTTCAATAAGTTGGTTGGTCGTTCCACAAGGAGTTTGAACTCTTGTAACGTAAATACCACCAGTTAACTGAACTTATCTACGGGGTCGACCTCACAGTTAATCCAAAGTCGTTATCTTTATTCACATGGGTTCCGAGAGGAATGCTGGAATTCACTAGAACGTCACCATTGTTTTCTGTTCCCTGCCATCATTTCGACACTGCCTAAAAACTTCCCAA